GGTTAAGTAAAAATGGCGGTGTTCATCAAACTCTTTCTTTCTGTCGCGGTTTCGAATCCTACCAAGGTTCTTTATTTATGTCATCCGAACCGTTAGCCATTGTTGTCTGTGCGTATATGAACAGCTAAGCTGTAGCTGCGACAAAGTTTGCGCTTTTGAAAGTGGACTTATGATGTTCTTCTGCAGCCAACGCCGAACAGGTTTATCTGTGGAAAGTGCATTCCACAGCTTGCCCTGGGTTGTATATTATTCTCTTTTTTTTCTAACCTGTGTCTGCGCTCTTTGTAGAACTCGCCAACCTTTGCCCTTCCTGCCCCGGTACTTGCTGTCGACGAAAGGGTTATCATCGGTGACCAAGTGAGTGTTCACTTTTGCATCTGCTAGTTTACTGAGGGATCTAAACCTATAAGGCGTACACACTTTCAACCCTTAATAAGCAAATTCGAGTACTACCAGCAGTTATATACTTTGGACAGACTGTGCAGCACTTTGATACGTATTTTGTGTTACCTGTACTAAGGCGGCATTGCGAGCGATTTCTAGTTGTCTTTGATGGGCGTGTAAATTTAGCTTTTCGGGGTAACACAGCATTCTTTGGATTGTCCTAGTCTGATGATCTTGTTAATTGTTCTGTAGTTTTGTTTTCAGTCTATTTGTCTCCAAAAATAGACGGCCATTTAGAAACGTCGGTGTGATGATGCACTGGTGCCTTATCCCACTAAATGTAACATTCTTGCTGTTTGGAGCAATTCTTAATTCGAGGTAAGGCGTAATCTTAGCATAATTTTAATTGCTAGTCCCCACAACCGTTCATTTGAGGACGAAAGAGATCGAGAAAATGAATTGGCTCATTAAATCTCCAAGTGATGGATCACCTGACAGTTTTATTAGGTTACTGATGGTCTATTTTGTTCCCTTTCCGGGTACAGGGTTATCTGCGTCTCATCGACCCCTGGAGCACGCAATGTGAGCGCTCTATCCAGTTGTTGCCCCCGTCCGACCAATCAAGCGGTGCGACCGGCAGCTACCGTCACAGCAATCTCCTCTCACCCACCTCCCTGCTGTGCCTGCGTCGATGGGCCAGTGGATTGGGTCCGGTCGGTGTGGCTGACGGCAGTCCCCGAAGTCACTATATCGTCTCCTTGGCTGATGGTGGCCGAACCCTGGTCGTTGTCCCAAAAAGTGCTTTCGTTAGCTAAATCATTCAGTCTTACCCCGTACCAATCCCTTCCCATTTTTGTACCAAACGAGAAACTAGAATAAAACCAGGAGGAACGACGAACCTGAAGACGAATGAACGATGTGTTATTGCCAATACCGTTTAACCGCGTTCCATCAGAGTCGAATGGGCTCTTTATACATTCACCCCCTGAGCTAAGCTCACATCTCATGGACCTTTTTGCCTATACCTGACTTTTATTTGGACACTACGTTTTCAATCTACAATAAAATTTGAATTACACTTCTTGGTTTCCTATTGGGACTGTGGACTAGTGATCTAACGTAGCTTCTGCGGTTTTGCATAGATAAAAAGTCTTTACTCCTCCCCCCCCACGACGCACCGTGATGTCAAAGCGCTGGACCGAAACTGTGGCCAGATCATAGCACGGCACGGCT